AAAAAAAAAAAAAAAAATACTGTACATTATTTGGTTTTGAAGTACATAGACACTACATGGTTAAAATGTAAACAATGATTACTGATTCAACAAAAAATTATGATTTAACTACACTGGGACAATGTAGATAAATTAAGTTAATAAAAAACAAGAAATGAATAACAATGATAATTCAAGAAATTAGTGTAAAATTTTATTTTAAAATATGGTAATAAACACTAGAAGAATCAGCTACAGGTTTTAAAAGTGGTTGCATCTGAGAGAGAAATATCGGTGTGGGGGAGTATAAGGGTGAAGAACAGATTATTTTTCCTTTGAAAAATATTCTAAATTAAAACACAAACAAGAGTTTCTAAGTTTTGAAAGTACATTGCATTCATTAAAAATTTAATTGGAATATTTGTTTTAACTTATCAGAACATATGCCATTTACATCCTTTAAATTTCCTTAATTTCTAATCAGAAAAAAAATCACCTCTATGCAGTTAGTCCACTTCTCATATACACTCATCAACTTCAGTTTCTTCCCCACTCCAAGCATGCTGACATTCACTACCCAGGAACACTTCTCAAGGGAAATAAGTTCCTGTTTATCCATTTATAACTTTCCCCTCAAAGTTCTTGTTCAAGGCCATTTTTTTTTAACATGAGTTTGAGTTTACTTAAAATACTGTAGAGTCTGAGAACTAATTAGTCCACACAGGGACTTTTTAAAAACAGTTTCCTAAGTAGTCTTGTAATCTTCTATCAACCAATTCATTCTGGACCTAGTTTACAAGGAAATCAATTTAAAATACTGTTTTCATCATCTCTCCTTTGCACAAGGACCTGATGATTCCCCTCTTCTAATGGGACTGCGTTCAAAGTCTTTTTGATATTTCTGAAGGCTACCAGTCTCATGAAAGCTTCTTATCTCATGTTCTTAGTCCTTAACTCCCTGAAGTGTACCTTCCACTTTTGTCAGGCAGATCTTTCTACCTCCTATTCACAACATGCTGTTGTTACTTTTATCTCTTATAAATGCTCTGTCCCCAAAGTTGAAAGTCTTCATCTAACTTTTTACTTATACTAAGGTCAAGCTCAAGTTCCACGACTCTGGAAGCTGCCCCTTTGGCCTGCACTGACCCATCTCTTCTTGCTTGAATTCAGACTGTCACAAATGCTTGCTCCAAATGTAGTTTGTAGTTTCAAATGAATGTAGTTTCAAAACTGTGTTGGGTCACTATCATGGAGGTAGAGGTGTGGGAGTGGTCACTGTTTCATGTAATGCCAACCACAGAAAAGAAAAATAACTATTACTTGAACATTTAAAAGATTCAGATAACCAAACTTGAATTCTTTCCAAGTCAACCTTAAAAACTCACCATCTATCAGTCAATTAAACAAAAAAAATTAGAACACTGACTTTTTCCCCACTGCAAAATGGGCCACTCTTCCATAAAACACAACACATGGCTAACACAATGAGACTACTGTGAGTAACTGCTCCCTCAAGATGAGGCACAGAACGAGACACATTCAAGAAGGGGTATGAGATTGCAAGGAAATAAAGGGTGTTTATATAGAAACAAACCTGGATCTACTTAAATTTATTTCTTTAAAGTCATTTTTAAACTTTGGTATTTTCACTATTTTTCCAAAAAAATCACTTCCTACTCATATCTCACAACTAGTGGTTTTGCATCCCAACATTACAGGTAAGGCTGACTTTAAAGACAATCCAATCAGCTACGGCATATCCATTATTACATTAGTGACTAATGTTTTATCAAAATAATCATATTTGTACTTACTTGAAAGATACCTTTACTTTAGGTTTAAAATAGGGTGCATTCTGGTCTGCCAAAAAGACGATTAAGTCGTTTCCTAAAGGAAACAAATATATGATATTAGAAAAATGTTTCTTGGTAAGATACCCCATCAGTGGTTATAAGAAGGTTTCTGGGCACTGTTTTCAACAAGAAAACTTTTATTCTACTCCAGTTCATCTGCCCTCTCAAGGATAGTTCCACTAGGCCAATGGAGAGGCCTAACATTGTATCACAAGTTCAATGTTCAAAGTAGCAGAGGAATAGAAAGGATGAACATGGGAAAAAGCAGCTGATCAAGAGAAACTGAAGCCAGTGGATTCTGCAAGGAGTCAGATTGGTTGACTTAAAAGAACCATATAAAGAAGATGCCTTATAACTATACTACATGTCAAGACTTGTCTTCCCCGAATCTAGCAATGCTGCCTCTTGTAAGGCTGTTTGGTTCATTACACAGATGCATCACACCAAAGATGCAGGGACTCCCATTGTAGATATCTGACAAGGACATAATTAAGCATGTGAGCATAAAACGCTGAATCCTCCAAGACCCTTCTCCTATTGGGCCATCCTCTAGAGGCTGACACATTCTTGGAGCTCAATTAGCACTCATTGAGACAGACTTTTGGAATTGTTTAATCAAACACAGGCCATCTTTAAAGTCAATGCTACTCTCTGTATCCAGTTTGGACAGAGTGGCAACAAGTTTTTGGCAGTACATTGCAAAATGAGGAGTCAAAAAGATTGGGAAAATATTCAGGGTCCGTAAGAGGCTCCTGCATCCTGGCAAGGGCCCCAAGAAGTCTGGTTCAGGATCCTGTCAGACAAGCTCTGAGTAGCTCTTCCTTCCTTCCTTCCTTCGTGGCATTGATCTTTAAGCAGCACCTGCTTCTGTAGGTACTCAAGAACGCTAAGACCCCCTAATGCCCACTGTCAGCATTAAGATTTATAAAAAAGTTAGTTTAATGATGGTCAAAGGAAATAATTTCCAAGAACAAGTTAGCAAAGAAAGTAGAGATTTGGAACACTAAAGTGATGACCAAGGTGAGGAAAGTGTACACGAAAGAACAGGCAGCTCAAGAGAGAAATTTCTGTAGTTTGAGACTGCTTTCCCAAGGAGGCATTGGTTTTATCAGTGGTCCCTGCAAAATGCTTGTGTGAGCTGTTGAGTGTTTACGCCCTTGGAAGGGTACATTTGCTTCAAAGAAAGCTGTGGCCTTGACAAAGGGGGGGCGGGGGGCGAATTAGGTAGGTGGGGAGGCAAGGAGAAGCCCCCTATGAGAAGACATTGTCAAGCTGCACCTTTTCCTGTTCATCAACGGGGAAGGAAGACGGAAGCAAAATAGAATGGAATGAGAGGGCCTTAGGAGCGAACGTTGAGGCAAGCTACAAAGATTCCTAAGAATCAGGAAGCACTTTGGAAGGCAAGTGATTCCACAGGGAGGAAAGGGAAGGGTGACTGGGAGAAGGCTGCAGACTTCTTAGGAAAAAAACGGGGTGCTGTCAGGGGGTAGGTCAAACTGTAGGGTGGCTGGGTCAGAACTTGGGGTTGGAAAGGGTGGTGCAAAAGGGCAAACTGTCAATAATGCTAAAGGGAAGGCCACAGGGCTGGGAGAGAAAGGCCAGGAAATGCTAAAGGACCGGTCACTGGGCAATGGGTTTAGGGAACATCGGGAGGGGCACACGGACAGCGAACAGAGGGAGGGCCCGGCAAGCACTGACTTTCCCGCAGCACGAAGAGGTCCGTCTGCTTGTCGGAGTTGAGGTCCCCGAAAGCCGCAAGGGTGCCCCAGGCCTCGGCCCCAAAGAGCTCGGCCGTGACGTTGTGCAGCGCCCGCGCTGGGACCGGCCCGACTCCCAGCAGTGCAAGCCCCGTGAGGAGCGGCGACAGGAGCGCCCAGGAGCTCGGCAGCCGGCCCGCCGCCGCCATGGCAGCCCCTCGGCCCCCGCCCGCCGGCCCAGCGCCGCGCTTGACGGCAGCCGTAAAGCACCGCGTTACCGGCCGAGAGAGTGACTAGCAGCCCCGGGACGCGTAAGAGCCGCTGCCGGATCCTTTTTCTCTCTCCCACTAGGGCTGCCCTTCCGACGCTAAAAAGACAGTGGAGCTAGGGTGAAAGCCGCCTTCACGCTCACTTCCGGCAGGCGCGCCTCCCGACAGTGTCGTGCGGGGGGCGTGGCCGAGCAGGCATTGCTGACAGGCGGCCCCGGGGGCGGTGGCCAAGGCGGCGGCGGGAGCGCGATGGCGGGGGCGGCGGGGCTCACGGCCGAAGTGAGCTGGAAGGTCTTGGAGCGAAGAGCTCGGACCAAGCGCTCAGGTTTGGCTGGCTGGGGCGCCGCCCCCCTCCCCGAGTACCTGGGGTGGTGCTTCTCCTCAAGCACCTTGGTGGGAGGCAGGTGGGGGCCCTGGGAATGAACCTGTGCCCCGAGTTCTCCCTTAGAAACAGTTGGCGGCCCTGACCTTGCTTCTGATATCTTCATCCACCTCTAAAAATTAGGTGGCGGTGCCTACTCCATTGTGTGTGTGCCCCCGACTCTATTCAACTTATGATCCCCACTCGGAAAGTAGGCAGCGGTCCGGACTTCCCTTAGAGTCTTCTAACTTAAAAATCTGGCGGCGGCACATTCCTGGGAAAGGGAATGTGTCCTCCCTGTGAATGTTCTCCCCAAAAGTCAGATAGCTTAATCAGATCAAGTCAGATGTAACTACGATCGGGCTGCAGAAAGCCGGCGTCTGCTCCTTGCCTTATGTCTTATATCCCTTTTACATTCCCACAGGTTCTAAGCAGTAGACCTGTCATCTGTCTAGCAGAAATTGAAGGAGACTGGGCCTCAGATCTTGAAGTGCATAGTTAGGGCTCAGAAGGAAAAGGGGCTCCTTAAGTGGTTCCAGGTTGTGTGGTTACCAAGCCAGAAAGCGTAGAGGTCAGAAGGTGCCTTGCAGGCAGTTTTAACAGTTTCAAGTGTCCCGAACTGACTTGTTCAAACTGCAAGTCATGACTTGTGGCATTATCAGCACTTGTGGCTGATGACTCCTCTAAAAGCTGGGATTAAAACTTCCCGTATTCCTGGCTGGCTGGATATAATCTTGAGCAAAAAGCATGTACTTAAACAGGAAAGGTGGAAGGCAGAATACAGGTTTTCAACTAAGGAGCTTCCCTTTTAGAGAACTGCATCATTGCGGGGGCGGTAGTGTGAAAGGCCTTAGCTAGGAAAATTAACTTTGCACTTGCATTGATATTAAGAAATTATTTTCGGCCGGATGCGGTGGCTCATGCCTGTAGTCCCAGCACTTTGGGAGGCCGAGGTGGGCGGATCACCTCAGGTCAGGAGTTCGAGACCAGCCTGGCCAATCTGGTAAAACCCCATCTCTACTAAAAATACAAAGCTTAGCTGGGCGTGGTGGCGGGCACCTGTAACGCCAACTACTCGGGAGTCTGAGGCAGGAGAATTGCTTGAACCTGGGAGGCAGAGGCTGCAGTGAGTGGAGGTCACACCACTGCACTCCAGCCTGGGTGACAGAGGGAGACTCCATTTCAAAAAAAAAAAAAAAAGGAAAAAAAGAAATTATTTTCTCAGCTAATATGTCCCCCTTATGTTTTGGGCTTTTCCCATTTATGAAGTTCTTAGTTGTCTGTTGTGCACTTTTTTTTTTTTTTTTAATTTGGAGAAAGTAAATCTAATTTCTGAAAATCTAATTTCAGAAATCATACACCCAACATTCTGTTTTTTATACCTTACAAAAAGTTGAGCTTTATTTACTCAGAGTTATAGTAAAATTACCAACTGTGAAGTATGAGGTAATTTTTTCAAAAAGTAGTCCTTAGTACTACTAAAAATCAATAAAGTGACTTGGAATAGTTAGATGTATTTGTTTCACACTTTTTCTTAAATTGTTTTTGAGTCATATAGAAATACTGAGTTGGCTACTAACAATGTGGCTATCTGGATATAAAAGTGTTATTGGATTGGTTATATCTAAACAGAGAGTAACTGGAGTTTTCTTACAGGGACCTGAGTACTGCCCCCAACACATATTTTTGCAAGATTTCTCTTTTCCTTTCATAAGCGCATAGAGTTTATTTTCTTCGTTAGTCTTTGTTTCCTCTGAAATGCATGTCGTTAACAGTAAGCTTTGAAAACCTTACTTCTCTTTTCTTAGCTGAGAAAAAAAATTTTAGTGTTAACTGTTGTTGAATGCAGTTATGTAAATCCACTTTTATATGCAAAGTGCATAGTATCAATGTTGAATGTTCCTGTATGTTTACATCCTAGTAGTAAAAAGAGATACCACTTGAATTCATTACTCCAAATTAGTAGTTAAATTTGAGGTTTCAGATTCTTATAAGTATATGAAGTACAGATGATAAAGTTAGTAACTCGAGTTAAAAACTTCCTGTGTCATTAAAAGCAGTCAACTTGATTCTGTTTGTTACTTTTAGAAGAATATATAAATGGAGCTTTGTTAGAAACCGACTAACCTGCCTGGAGCATAGAGTCCTCCTCACAGAGTTCTGAGCATTGTTACATAGTAGCATAATTACTTCACTGCACAATAGAGGATACTACTTTTATGTAATATTTAATAAGTGGATATTATATAGTTCCTGTCTCATCCATATGAGCAAGTGTAATTTATCAAAGCAAAGAAAATCACATATTCAAGTCATAAAAGAGAAAATAAAATTATAATGATCCTCAGTTACTGCCTTTGTTGCGCACTGCATCATGTTAATAACTGCTCACACTGCTTTCAATTAATTTAACACTGATTGCTTCTAACCTTTACTAAACAGTTTTAAAATTGCTGTAGCTTAGCCTGCGACGCTTATGATTAGAGCCAACAATTTGAAATGGCCTGCTCACCTGATGCAGTCGTCTCTTCGTCTTCTACTTTCTTAAGGTCTGGTAAGTGTTGTAGACCCCAAAAGGGTCACTTGGTAATTTTAAATACCTTTGTTTCTGACGGTTGATTTCACTATAAGATATCATTATGTCTTTATTTCTTGTTTGGTGGGCCCAGGCCTGAGTACCAGGCTGGTGTTAGGTTTAACTTTACATTGTGTTTTGAATGTGGCCTATTGTGTTCTTCTCATGTGGGGTTTGAAAAGGACAGAAAGTGGAGTGCCAGCCCTGATACTTGCAAGCTGTTTGAGCAGAGGCAGTTCCTCAGTGTCTGGGAGCTCCCATTGTCAAATGTGCACATAGTGTATTTTTTTAAATGATTTTTGTCTTCTTGCCACAAAGGAAGTAACTTTTACAAATTAGGAATCTTTGGTCAACATCCCACTTATCTATTCTTCATCAGCTTACTGTGAAGCAGGTTATTAATATATACGTTTTCATAGACAGGAAGTGACTTACCCCAGGGAATATTTTAAGGACATGTGCTTTGGCCTTTATCCTGTGCCATCCTGGTGTAAGGGCTGGAACAGATGTTGGCACAATGGCTCTTTGACTGTTGTGTTGATGCACCCCTTTGAGAGCTGGATGAAAGCTATGGAATTGCTCTCCAGATGTGTGCACAGGATTTTGAAAACAATCTGAGTGATTCATGGACCCAGACATGATTACCTATGCATTCCCATTAGGAACTAGGTCTTTGGATGTATTCAGTCTCACTTTAGGGAAGAAGACACACATTTCGTTAGGTGGCCACATAGCTGAAATGAAAACCGAAACATTTAGAGCACTTTTCTGTAGTTATGGCTTAACTTGAGCCATTTAAAACCTATTATGTGCTAGAAAACCCGGAGAAGGCTGCTGGTAAGAGGCTACTTTTTCTATAATGCCTTTTAAGCAGAATATTTCAAGCCTCAGGACTCACGAACAGGCAAATGTGAGATGAGCACCCCCAAACACAGTGAAAACTCCTTGGCTTCACCATAGCCTTTCAGAAGTGTTTCTCCCTCTTCATTCATTTTCATTTATATTTCAAGTCCTGTTCTGGCAAGATAGAGGAGGAAAATCTTGAAGAAAATAAATAAGAAATAGCTTAAGGAAGAATCAAACAGGAGAAAACAAAAGCTCTTTAAGGAACTAAAATGATTTCTATCTCTGGGTGTCATCTGCTAAATGAGAAAATATTATATGTAACAATGCCAATTGATTTCTGATTCTTTGAACTAAAAGAACAGGAGGACATATATCTCTAGACTCTGCTTTCTTTCATTATAAGCACCGAGCTCTGTTTTCCATCTTGGCTCTTCTACTAAGAATTAAAGTGGTTTTAAGCACTAGCAGAGTCATTCAGTAGTAACGGGGAAATAGAATGTTTAAAGACAGCTTTTATGCATCAACAGTCCTGAAAATTTCTAAACCCAAGAATTGTGCTTTAACATTACATAGAGTGTTTGAAGGCATATACAAGAAGCTTTTCCAGTACTGTATCATCAAATTTAAATAGAATGCACCAAGAAACAGACTAGAAAAATATCAAACTTTAGTGTTATAATCCGTTTTAAAGAATGAATCTTTATAAATTACTTTCAGTGTTGGCACTTTTTTGGGAGTTCATCTAACCAAAACTTACTAAAACTATAAAGACACACTTAAAATTTGTATCTGTTAAAATAATAAGTACCATTCCTGCTGGTGTTTAGGCTTAACTTTGCATTGTGTTTTGAATGTGGTCTGTCGTGTTTGCATTTAAGTACTCTGAGTGGTTTGCATTTATAATTTCTTATTTAGAAATACTCCATTTATATTGGAAATGATTTGCTTTCCCCTATTGTAGTTCTTTAGACATTATCTTTTAGGCATATGTTTTATTGTGCGATTTCATTTGACAATTATTTTAAAGCATGTCCTTGCTTCACAGCTGAGCTTTTCATTGGTACTTTGGCCAGAAACTATCCAGTACTGCCAAACGTGAAAGCCAGTAGTATCTTGATTTTGAAAAATTCATTTTCAATGTACCTGCATTGTTTTATGTATTTTAACACTTCATATTCCTTTTGGATATGTTTCTTCTTTTGGTTTTTTTCTTTGTTTCTCCTCTTTATGGAATTTAGCGTGAGTCCTATATTTCTGTGTGTGCATGCTTGAGCTGTGCTCTGACTGCTAATGTACTAGTATTTGCTGCGGTTGAAAGAAATTTGTTTTGACTGCTTAAACTGAAAGAGGGATCTAGATATTCAGGTTTTTCTTTAAAGACCTTTGAAGTAAAATGTACAAGACCATGAATTTATAAAGAAATTCAACAGCCAAAATAAGTTAAATAATTATTAGAGAAGGAATGTAACATTCAATACCTTAGATTGCTTCCATTTCTCATGTGGCCACTACGGTTATATTAAGTTAGTTAGCAGAGTTGGTC